CGCTTATTTTCGTCCCAGACTCATGATTTGATATCAATCTTTTATTAGATCATTTAGGTACTTATTTTGCCAACATACAGTTTTTTCGCTTCTATATGATAATAACAGCTTTGAACCGCTCATGTTTCAGGATATTTACTTATGTATTGTTTTTTTCATTAAAACTCTCTTATTTTCTACGTACGTGATGAATAAGTCAAGGTTTTTGCTTCCACCTTGAACTATTCATATCGCATTAAATCCATGTCTTGTTTGGTCAACATACTATTTTTTCAGATGCACTTGTTACTTTTTTTTTAAGTTAGGAATTTTTGCTTGTTTTACCTACACCTGACCCAAATAAATGTGCATATTAAAACAAACGCTAAAACCCGTAACTCACTTGACTTTGCGCTTCTAGATTTTATGTTCTATATGTTTATGATGTAAAATATCTGGTCTGGATCCGGACAGCATTTTATTTTGTAGTTGTAGAAGTAGAGTTACAGTTTAAATGCAAAATAAATGACGTTCTCCTGTGAACTACACATTTTTGGCTGTGCACAGTATTTTTTATCAATTATTAGGGTTTTTCTGTTATCAGCTACATTCGAAGCTAAAGAGTTCTTGCATTCTTACTGGGGATTGCTCAGATTTACAAAATTTTACTTTTTTACTGCGTTTTCCAACGATTTCGATGGTCTGGCTTACGCGTGGTCTGCTTGAACGCTTCCGAAGGCGTTCAAGCAAACCATCTCTGAAGATGCAAGCCACTCGTGCTTGCAAAACATCAGGAAGAAATTCTATTGTACGACGGCCTGAAAACCCACTAGTTGCAAAAAAACTGAAAGCAGTGTTTTGCTCAATAAAACATTTTTTTTAAAGATTTACGGAATTGGGCCTGCCATCTCAATCAGGCCTCAACGAAGAGCTAATCGAGTTGCAGAAGGACCTGGAAAAACTCGAATCTCTAGTGGTATTTTGCCACAACGACCTGCTGTTGGGCAACGTGATTTTCACAAAAGAGGAGAACGACGTCACTTTTATCGACTACGAGTATGCCGCCTTCAACTACCAGCCTTTTGATATCGCCAATCACTTCACGGAGTTTGTCGGTAAGAAAAGTGGCTTTTGTGTGCCTCCGTTGGCCTAAAAACACGCTTTCAACTGCAGGACTCGACTTGGAAAACATGGACTATTCGGCGGATTTTCCGAGCGAAGAATTCCAAAAGAACTGGATACGCGTTTACTTGGCAGAGTTCAATGAGCGAACAGCCATCAGCGAAGCTGAGGTGGAAAAAGTGTACAGAAATGTGCAAAAGTTTGTCCTGGTTTCCCATCTGTTTTGGGGCATTTGGGCTTTAATACAAGCTGAACATTCCAGTATTGAATTCGACTATTTACTGTGAGTAGCCACAGCTAAAGCTTTGCAAACCCCGCTGACCATAAATTAATGTGGATTGCAGCTTTGCCAAGATTCGTTTAGACGAGTACTTTGCCAGGAAAAAGGACTTGCTTAAAGGGAAAACTCAACCGGAAGCCACAGCTTCTTAAAGCCCTACAGAACCTATCCGTAGATTAGCTCAACAAACCCCCTTTTTAATTGTTAAATATCGCCCTTCGTTCGACCAAACTGTTATGCATGTTGTTATATTCCATTTTAACTAGGTTTTTATTGATTGACTACCTACACCAATGAT